TGTTTTTTTCATCAAGTTAGTTGCCCTATTTCTGAAGTGACCAATGTGAAAATTGAAATTTTATTGTCTACTACTCTTTGTTTGTCCAGTTGTCATTAAATCTCTGTAGTTTACCTTCTTATTTTAAAATGCTATCTCTCTGCCTGCACACGTCTACAACTCGTTCTGTTTATTTGCTTGTCTGCTTTTTCCCCTATGATTGTCTCTATTCTTCTACTTCTGGTTGTTTACCTTTTTTAGTTTCACTGTCCGTCTCTCGTCCTCCCTTGTTTCTTATCATTGTTAATTTTGAGACTTTTCCTATGCCTAACTCATTCACGTTCTCTTTCTCTGTTTCTGTCTGTCTATCTGTCTGTCTGTTTCTCTCTCTCTCTCTCTCTCTCTCTCTCTCTCTCTCTGTTTGTTTGTTTGCCTGTTTGCCTCTTAATCTTTCTTCTGTCTTTTATTAAAGCCCGTTGTACAATTATTCCTCTGTGCCATATTTTGGGGGTTTCCTTGTCTAACCATTTTTTATTTCCCTATTTTTTTTTGGGGGGAGGGGGTGTGTGTCCTTATCTCATGTTATAAGCGGGATTGCGTTTCTCTACAACTATCGCATTATTGTTACGTATTGTTTATATTTGAAAATTTTGTTGCCTCCATGAGGGGAGGAAGAAAGAGAGAGAGAGAGAGAGAGAGAGAGAGAGTACGTGAATGAGTTAGGCATAGGAAAATTCGCAAAATTAACAACGATAAGAAACAAGGGAGGGCGAGAGACGGACAGTGAAACTAAAAAAGGTAAACAACCAGAAGTAGAAGAATAGAGACAATCATAGGGGAAAAAGCAGACAAGCAAATAAACCGAACGACTTGTAGACGTGTGCAGGCAGAGACAACTAGACAAACAAAGAGTGGTAGACAATAAAATCTCCATTTTCATTGGTTACTTCAGAAATAGGACAACTAACTTGATGAAAAAGACAGGCTATGACAGACAGTCATACAAGAAATGGTAGAATAAACAGAAGATAGACAACCAGAAGCAGATAAATGTAGAATAACAGAAGAACCAACTAAAGAGAGAAAGAGAGAGAGAGAGAGAGAGAGAGAGAGAGAGAGAGAGAGAGAGAGAGAGAGAGAGAGAATATGTAAGAGTTGGTATAAAATTTTTATCAACATTCTAGTCGTTAACGTACTTATATGTTTAAGAAATGGTTTAATTATTTATTAGCTTTTACCTTTTGTTGATAATTCTTCACAATAATTGGTTTTTTAGTCAATTCCAGCATCAAAATTTATAATTAAGCTTAATGATATTTTGGTGGGAATAAAAGTACTTTATGAAGACAGTTTTTTCTAGGATGAACGAGTCACTAATCTAACTTTGGAGAGTTGACATACGTTCATGTATTGTATATTGTTTCATATCGATCAGGCCCTTATGCGAGGATCGTCGACACAAGAGGGTTGAAGGGGGTGGACCGCAAACGCCGACAATTACCCTATTGACGCGTTGACGGCTATGGGGGTTGATGCGGGCCTTCGGGCTCGTGACCCCCATACGAAAACCCACATTCATCAGGCCCATTAAGTGCGAATGCATTTAATTTTTCTGCACCGCACCCGGCAGTCAATTGAGCATCAACTGCTGGTGGGACAATTTCAAACGAACTCTTTGCAAACAGACGGTCACTGTGATGAGCGTTTGTATTTCAAACCAAAAACGAGGCGGGAAATCAACTAATTAAGTTAAAATCTCTCTGCTGTGTGTGTGAACGTGAGGATAGGTCGATCATCAGTGTTTCGTCGTTTCCAAGTGGTAATTGATTGGTTTGTAAAATGTGAGCCTACTTTCTTCGCCGCAATATCCTTCTTCACCCAAGGCAGCAACTAACTGTCCTTGATGTCCTGTCCTGCCGGAGGAATTGGGAAGTAGAACAAAATAGAAACAAGGAAGGACACAGACTTTGACAGACCAAAACAACAGAGGAAAGCTGACCTTGATTTGAAACGAACTTGAAGCTACAGATAAGCATCACGCACAGGACCAAACCAATAAACTGGCCCGAAAGATCATCAGCAACATCAGTAGAACAGAGCTTTTCTGTAAACTTTCACACTGCCATAAAAAGGAGCAATTTCTGAATGGATCACGTTTAAAACTCATATTTAATGGAACTATTCAAGAACCCATCGCCAGAAAAGTCTCTCCTAAACTTACTATATGTTTATTGTACAAGTTGGCAAAAACTTAGAAAGAATGCAGGGCTTTTAATTGAACACTGCTAACTCAATAGGCCTGTGAAAATACGAGGAGTGGCAGAAGATGTGTAGGTTCTGAACAAGAAGAGGAGGAAATAGCAGAAGATATATGGTAAAGTGAAGGAAACACAACAAAAGCAATAAGCACAACTCATGAGGAAAAACTATATCCAGGAAACATAACGTATAACGAAGTATCAACGGTATGACTAGCGTGAAGAAGCAAAGAAAAGCATGAAGTTTGATAGTGAGATGTAGCCCATCGAGGAGTAGCAAAATTGTTCAATTTGATGTTTTATGCAGAGCCAAAGACCAAAAAAACAAACAAAAAACGAAGCTTTTCTTCCGGTTTTGATGTAACGTGAAGAGGGTAGATAAAACAATTCTTGGCTTTGATAACTTTTAATTAGAAGAAACAATATCGCACTGAAGAAACTTAGTGGATTAATTTTTGTATTACCATAAAATATATATATGTCTTTTATTAAACCAATTCGCCCATTTGGGAAAGTTCTTTCCAGTTTGGCTATTTTTTTATATTTGTATTTGAGAGTCGGTTCTTTGAAGGAATGCGGGGTCGACATAACTCTTTGAGTCACCTCAATCAGGCCTTTTCCTTAATGGCGGCCCTGAGAGTAAAATCGCATTCCAATACTTATTGGAAACGCGGGGAAATTCTGTAGGAGAACAGAATTAAAAACGATAATCCGCCAAGCCTATTCAAAAGTTGAAATCACTCCAAATGTGCTGGACCGGTTTTTAAGTACGCACATTTCGAGAATGGCCAGCATTCGCCAGGTCATGTTTAGTAGTAGGTATGAGTATATGTCACAAAAAATTTAATATCAATTCAAAAAATAATCATTTCAATTAAACACAAAACACGACAAAGTTCGTCATGTTTAATTCTACCACATGTTGGGAAAAGTATGTAGATAGACTCAAAAACACTTACCATGGTCCAACTTCAGTGGCTGAACGGGGAAGACCGAGTAATGCCAAACACCGAGATGTGTGATTCGCGAGGCTAGCCGGTGATATAGTGTAAATTAGTGTCCTTTTGGTTGTTGTATACCCCGTTCTGTACTTACAGCACACTGGTGGGTCCTAGGTTCATCAAGACTTGATTTGTAGGACCGGCTTCAGAAGTTGATTTTCTTCTGCAGGTAAGTTGTACATCCCAAAACACTTCCTCCTGAGGGGCAAATGTTCCACGATTTGTCAGTTGTTATCTCTTCTGCTTATTTGCAGAATCTGCGCATACCGTGTTGTTTTTATTTATCTTCTTCAGTTCCCATCCTTTTAGGATTTGAAGTTTTTTCCTGCTTCCTTTCATGCGTTCTCTTGTTTCTTTCTTTCCAGAAGATTCTTAGATTGTATATATCCAATGAGTGAATTCCTCTGTTTCCTCATTTTCATATTCTCTTTTTGTGTAAGGTACTCATAGGTAGTGTAATCACTATGCCATAGAATGGCTTACGACGTATCAGTATGGCCGGCCCTTTCTTTCCTTTCCTTGCAAGGCGTCCGCTCCCTCCTTGCCCTCTATACTCACATGACCTGGGACCAAGAAAAGTGTGACTTTATTTTTCATACTTAATCTGCTTAGTTTACTTTTCCAATTCAGCACCATCTTTGCGCTAATGATGTCTGAAATAGTGCTTCGATGGATGCTTGGCTATCTGACTTGATAGCTAGCTATATTTTTATTTTTGTATTACTACTGCTACTAGTATTTGTGTGTGACTGTATGTGTGTATGTGTCTGTTTCTGTGGGTGGGTGGGTGTGGGTGTGTAGGATGACAATAACAAAATAACGTGATGAGTACGACAGAAAGTCATAAAATATTATCATTTATGACAATGACAATCAAATGAAACAAAACTTAATTGTCTTGTTTGAATTGAATATACAGAATTGAAATAATAAACCATCAATATTTCTAAAAGATGCAGTTTTAGATCAAAAGAAAGGAAGAGCCTGAAAAATAAAAATCAATATAATGGATATTGTAAATCGAGTTTCTTTAATGGAACTTTCAACCATTTATTTTATTTTAAATATAATTATTTAAACCCTCCTCAATTATTAAATTATATTATTTTATTATATTCGATCTAAAATTACATGAACAACTTGTAATTATATTTTTTTTTAATTTCAACAATTTATTATTGAAAAGGATGGATATTGTTAATTGAACATTCTACATTTTGCTATGTAGATTGTATATTGACAGGCTTGAACCAAAATATAATAATAGTAATTATTAATTAATTGTTAATTGAACCAGAAATAAAGGAGATAAACCTTGATTAAGAATTTCCAATAAATAATCTACGGATGTGGTGACAATGAATGACAGCAAACAACATCGACCCCGAGATGTAGCATAGATTAATTTAATGTTTGCTTTAATAATAATAAAATTAAGGAATCATGTTTGCAAAAAATTTTTTCTCCTTAATTGCATTTTTTTTATTACTAGATAAGACTCATTGGTTTTCTTTTCAAGGAGTGAAACACTTGAATAATTAATTCACTTAAATTAAATTATTTACTTTCTTCCTGATTGGAGTTAATGAACACTACTTTCTATTTTTTAATCTAGTTTTAGGCCATGAAGAATTAACAGGTTGCAAGCCCATTTCCGTCCTGGTTTATAGGTTGTTTTTTTTTTTTTTTTTTATTTCACTATCTTTTTCCCTTTGTTTCAAATATCTTGAAATTAGAAGGTCATCTGAGGCTAGATATCTAACTAGAAGAGATAACTCATTCCGAACTGGAAATCCAATCCAATTTACTTATCTTCAATGTGGAATATTATCAATCCACCAGGCAGCGTTAAAGTTGTGCTATGAATTATTTATTTACTATTTGTTTTTGTACTTTTTACGGTCTGTTCGACCAATACAAGAATAGACAGACCAAAACGAGCGGACTACCGGTCCGGCACACCGCAGACCTCAAGAGGAAATTTCAAAAGTTTGGTATGTATTATGTGCTTTCCTTTAAAAACAAAATAAACTCCAAACACACACATATGTATTACACTAAGAATTTTATTTATAGTTCTTGCAAATGATGACTGTAGCTAAGGATTGACGACGTGATGGTGATAAGTTATCACGCCGACCTTCATAAATTAAAAAAAAATATATTAAAAATAATTAAATTAAAGCCTTTTGTGAGTTATTTAATATAATATACATTGAATATACAGTACCTAATGTACAGTTAGAGGTTTATTTATTATATTTTTTAATTTTGGAATGTTACAACAAGACGGAGGATAAGCCACACCCGTTATACGTCGTGTTACCCCAGGTTATGGGTCCCGTTGTAAGAAAAGATATGCTGAGGTCAACTCTCCCGAAGAATGTCGAATCCGTTTCATCCACTGAATGTACACCGCCTGCATTTCCTTTTTTGTCAGTTATACCTAGAATTTGATTAAGTTTTTAATGTTTGCAAATATTAAGGTGATATTAGTAAAATTTAAATGTGGTCATGGTATATGTTAATAAATTAAACCGAAAATGAACACTCCAAATCATCAACAAAAATCAGCAAGAATAGGCAGGTAACTATCGAATATTATGAAAATAAATACACTTAGATTATATTAAGATATTGCATTGAGAACATCGCAATAACTAAAACATAAAGTTGTATTTTTGTATGTTGTATAACAATTAGAACTTTTTTTATTTTTTTATTTATCTATCTCTCGCCTCTCTCACACACACTGTATATCCCAGTCTTTCGGGTTTGATAATTTCACTTGTAGAGTGACGTTTGCAATAAAACAGGTTATATTCTGGAAGCCAACATATGAGTTTCTAGTGCACTTATCATTTCCTTTTCACTTTATTTTTTATCTGTATTCTATCAACGTAAAACAAACACACATTTATACTTTTTCATTTCAACCAAAACCTTACATTCAAAGGTTAATTATTTGAAATAAATAATTTGGTCAATAGACCACTAAATATAATGGATTCATGTATACATTTGTCTGCCTTAAAATCGCTCTTACTCGCTTATAATGTAAAAAAAAATTGGTTTGAAATCTCAAACTAGTGTTTGTCCATAAGCATAATGCTTGATGGTTATCATAGTTCTTTTAGCCTAAAACTTTTATTTAATCAATAGAAGTAAATAGGTCTTTCCCAAAAAGAGTTGGGTCATCGTTTAATAAGAGATTGAAACCTTTCAGGCTGAAACTTGTATATTAAGATAAACTGAAATGTAATCGCAAAATTTGAATTCCTGAGAAGAACGTGAAATTTGAGGTCGTGGGTTCGTTTTGTCCAAAATCTGTGCTCACCTCGCCAGTGGGGCACGACTACGTCTGAAACTGCTGCACGATATTTACAAGAAGTCGTTATATCAAAACGGGTTCCGATCAGGGAAAACGATTTGTCATATCACGAATACCTCACTCTTGTAGCACAACGACTGCCAGATTCCCGTTCCGGAGCGCAACAGATCGAGGATGAGTTCAGAGTAACGGAATGACGCATAAGTGCAGTAACTTTCCTTTTGAGGTCTCTGCAGAACGGATGAGAAAGAATCCGCGGGATTTGCTAATAAACTGACGTGGCAGTTTTCTCCACTTCATTTAAAAAAAGATCCAAGTTTTCTGCCCAAGTTTCTATAAAAGGGATATCGCAATTTTATGTGATTTTTTTTAATTGTTTTATTTTTAAGCTTAAGATTAGAGAATGTCTTCGACTTTCCTGTTTGTTCATTACCCTCGAGAGGATACTTACAAAATTGGCCACGTCTTGCACACTACTTCACTTCAAAGTTTCTTCTTTATAAAAAAGTTTTATGCTTAACATTGCGATCAGTAGAATAAATATAAAGTCACTAAAGTTACAGCAAAAATTTTAACAAAAGATACACTGAATCATTAAGAAGATTGTTGGGTGGTAGTATTTACATATTACTGGAAAAAACAAAATATAATACGACTAGTGACTTACAACATTAACAACGATCAGACTAATAAGGAATTTTTTAAAAGTATATTTTAACAAATTAGTGCCAATGTCGTCATTCTTTTTATCAGATGAACAAATCAACATTTTTAAAATGTACGGTCATAGTTGAAAAAGTTAAAAATAAACCAAGTTAGATAAGAAAGCAACAACCTTAGTTTACGACTTAAATCGATGTAAAACTTGTACAAAATAAACAGTGAACGAGTGGTCGTGGGTTCGATTCCCACCGTCGCCTCTGGCCCTTTTTTCACGATAACCCCCCCCCCCATTTGAACACACATAAAGAATTAGTCACCATGGCTAATATGCATAGATCATAAGGCAAAAAAAAAACAGTGAACGAGTGAACCAAGCTGAAAAAAAAACAAAAAAACAGTGAACGAGTGAACCAAGCTGAAAAAAAACTAAATATGACTAAAATATAAGAAAAGGTTGCTCAAGTTTTTTTTGTGTGCAAAAATGTGACAAATCATTCTCTTTCTCTCACTATCCCTCTCTTTCACCACTCTCTCTCTCTCTCACTTATTCCTTTTCTCGCTTTCTCTCTCTTTCTCACTCTCCCTCTTTTCTCTCTCTCTCTCTCTCTCTTTCTCCACTCTATCTCACTTATTCCTTTTCTCGCTTTCTCTCTCTCCCTCCCTCCCTCTCTCTCTCTCCCTCTCTCTCTCCCTCTCTCTCTTTCGCTGCTACAAGGCTCTACTCTGTCTTCATTGATCTTTTCAACTTATATTAATTACATTAATAATCATTCATTAATTAATGAAAACTGTAAACTTCGCCTTTATGCAGACGATCTAAATGTAATAAATGATTCGAAAATTGATAAACTTAATGATACAATCGATATAATGAATCACGATTTATGCACGTTAATATATTTGAGTAAAAAACATGCGTTAAAAATCAATCCCAAAAAATGTAAATCAATAATAATTGGACATAATAAATTAATGATTATTTGGAAATCGTGAGATGCGGTCTAGTGTGATGTAGGTTTTTAGAAAAACATTTTATTTATCGTGCCAACGTTTCGATCTTTATTGAGATCATCTTCAGGGCCTTGTGTTGTCTGCATTTCAACAAGAAGGTTCTCTGATTAACAGCCGATGCGAGTTTCTTCTCATTGTTTGTTAAAAATTAATGATTTAATTGATTATCATTTAGCATGGATCATTTTCATCGTGTTAGAAATGAAAAAAACTACATTCATATAAAAAAAAATATATATAGAACTGTTGTACTTAATATAAACATTAGATATAAAACTAAGCAATTACAAATTATAAAACATAGAACCACAATATTTAATCATTCATTTGCAATTAAAAGAGCAAGAGTGTTTTCAAAATTACCAGTTGAAACTCAGCATTGTAACAAAATAAGTAAAGTATGTTTAGAAAAAAACTAAAAAATTATTTTATATCAAAATATGTGTACAAAATACTAAACTGTTGATACTAAAGATACTACAAAATATTAAAGATGTTGTTAATGTATCTTTACAGCTGTCACTTAAGTTTATAATTTTAAACATTTAAATGTCTGTTGTTAGTTTCTTCTCCTGATAGAAGAAGTTACGTTTTCTTATTATTTAAAGATCTCAACACGATAGACAAAAATGACACATCTATACGGAAAAGAAACCCTTTGAGCTCTGAAGATGATCTCAATAAAGATCGAAACGTTGGCACGATAAAGAAAATGTTTTTCTAAAACTTACGTCATACCAGACCGCATCTCACGATCGCCGAATAATTATTTAAAGATTATTTTTTATTTTGAATGTGTGAATCCACTGTAAACAAGTATATAGCTGGAAAGAGATAATTAATTTGTTCAACTTTGTTGTATATAGTAGCTGAGTAGAGTTTATTAAATCATGTTGCTTTAATTTCACTTTAGATGTAAGAGTGGTCCTAGAGACTAAACATTGAATGATGGTTAAATAAAACTCTCTCTCTCTTTCCCTCATGGAGGCCACAACATTTTCAAATATAAACAATACGTAGCATTAAAAAATAATGAAAAACTGTACATAGTAAACGTGACGAATCCAAAACATTACCAGTGAATGTTGGAAGGCATAGAATATAACAAAGATGTTTTAATACATAACGAATTTTTGTCAGAAGTACAACTTATCCCCATTGCGATAGTTGTAGAGAGACGCAATCTTAATGGGGCTTTAACATGAGATGAAGACACAAAAAAAAATTGAGAGATAAAAAATGGTTAGGCAAGGAAACCCAACCAATAAATATCATATGGCGCAGAGGATTTTTTTTTCGAGGGTTCGCAACAGCAGAGGTCATATAAACCCTCAGGGTGCCGGTGTTTTTGAAAAAAGTAGTCGGGTTCGAATGCAGGGCCTCTGGATTCGAACCCGGGACCTTTACCTTACAGTGATGAGCGCCATGTCAACGCCTAAACCGTTGCGGCCACCGACGGACACCCCCAGGAATAATTATTCAACGGGTTTTATTAAAAGGCAGAAGAAAGATTAAGAGATGAACAGGCAAACAAACAAAAAGCATATATATGATCAATCAATCAAAAACAGGCAAACAGAACGAGAGAGAGAGAGTGAGAGAGACACACACAGAGAAAGAGAACGTTAATGAGTTAGGCATAGGAAAAGTCCCAAAATTAACAACGATAAGAAAGAAGGGCATGCAGAGAAAGAGAGACGGACTAAAAACTAAAAAAGGCAAACAATCAGAAGCAAAAGAATAGAGACAATCATAGGGGAAAAGGCAGGCAAGTAGGCTCTTCTCTCTTTCTCTCTTTCTCTCTCTCTCTCTCTCTCTCTCTCTCTCTCTCTCTCTCTCTCTCTTTCTTTCTTTCTTTCTTTCTTTCTTTCTTTCTATATGTTCCTTTCTCTAATTAATTGTCTCTATATCTCTAGCTTTGTACCATTCCCTCTCGTCTTCCGTCTTCCACCTCTGTATTTGATTACTAGTAACATAAGTAAGTTGTTCGTCATTCCCGATCATTTTGGTGTGCTAGACGCGTTTTGGCTCCTCGCCTTTTTCGCTTCTGTCTCTGGACCGAAACAGCAGGTCTAAAATAATCGGAAACGACCAAACTACTGGTTCATCACACAGCAGACTCCAAGCGAGAAAAATAGCTAGGAAAATGTTGAGACATGAATTTGGTAGCCACGTGAAGCTAATGTTTTACATTGATCTTTAAGCTTTAATAAAAAATGTAGTAAAACTCCTCTCAGTAATTTAAGAAAAAAAAAAAGCTCAAAGCCTCATGAAGTTCTAGAAACATTTTCTCGCCCTTGAGCATAATACATTTCATGACGTCCAATAATAGTTTTATTTAACCTATGAACTTTTCCCTCTCTGGGCGGATTCGGTGACCTCAAAAAACATCCGGCGAATCGCCAGGCCGCCGTGGGTCCCGTTTGAAAAATGAAAACGTTTTTCCATCCCATTGCTTTCTAATCTATTCGGTTCCTGTGAGAGAAACGTGGGCGAGCTTATCTACGAGACGCGGCTAAAACTTTTTAGTCATTAACTTTTTATCGGCTCGGGTTTAGTCAACTCCCACATAATTCGACTCTTTTGACAGACCAAGCGGTTTTATAAACTTTGAGCCCATGCCCATCGACGCCTAAAGAGGAACCGTTCATTGCAATAAATTAACAACAAATTAATAATCTTTTGTTTTATATTTTATTTTTCGAGTTGATT